AACCCTAAACCCTAAACCTACTAAGTGCCATGATCCTCCAAGTAGGTTCAGGCCCAGGGTCTCCACCGCCTTAAAAGGGAAAAAGTTGAGAGGCCTCAGGTTGGCAAATGCGAGGGTCCAGATGCAAAAAGCGGAGGGAGTGGATGCTTGGAGGGTCATGGGACTTAGTAAGTAGGGGTTTAGGGTTTAGGGTTTAGGGTTTAGGGCTTTAGGGTTTAGGGCTTTAGGGTTTAGGGCTTTAGGGTTTAGGGTTTAGGGTTTAGGGTTTAGGGTTTGGTAAGTAAGGTTATAAGTGCCCTAATTGGGGTTATAATTATGGTTACCTTATTTCTAACCCTAGTTACTAAGTCGCATGATCCTCCAAGTAGATATAGGGGCCTACATAATTACCATCTGAGCTTCTAGGGCCTGGGGCCTTAATAATCAGAATAGGGCTTTTGGGGGTCCTTATTATAATTAGAGTATAATGGGCTCCGAAACCCCATCAAGTTATTAAGGCCCCTACTACAGTAGCCATCTTTTTATCGGATGGCCCTTTAGCTGAAGGTGCTCCTGAGCACTCCCGAAACGACATCGGATCGGCAACAGCGAGAGAAGTAGAACCCAATGCAGCCATTTTCGCGGAACCCAGGGTTTGTTCTGTGTCAGGCTCAGCTGCCTTTGTCCGGGAGCTTCAGGCCTAACAGCCGTCTCCAGCAGATAGCACGTTTCTGGCGGCACTTAACGCTTCTAACTTCTAACCCCTTAACTTACAACTACCTGAGCCTCGTACAGGGCCGAGGAGGAGACCCTGGAAAAAATGCAAACCCGAAATCCCAAACCTGGGAGAGCCGCCCGTCGTTCGTTTCGTTCAGCCTGTTGTAGCGCGAGATGGCCAAATCCACCTTCCTGGCTTTAGGGTTTAGGGTTTAGGGTTTGATGGCCAAATCCACCTTCCTGGCCAAAGCTGCTTCGGCAAAGACAAACTATCTCGAGAACTGATGCTCGCTAAGCACCAATGCTGAGAAGAGAACGAAAGGTCGTAGTAGACACAGCGGCAGTAGGTCGTACTAAGAGTATGAAGAGAAAGACTACTAGGAGCAGCAGCAACAGGAGCAGCCGCAGGAGTAGGAGCAGTAGGAGCAGTAGGAGCAGAAGCAGGAGGAGTAGAATTTCGACTGCTAATACGTACTCGCGAGATAGCAATAAATATGGACATAGACCGAAACAGGCATACTCGTGTCAATGACATGCAAAATTTCATGGGAATGAAAAGTCTTAGTGTACCCGCAGTGCACTTTCCAACGGTGGGACTTACGAATGTGGGACTGCCCCTATCCGGCTCTGACTCCCGAGTGGCTTCCTTTGGGTATCCTAAGGTGGTGCAGAACCCAAAGACCACCCTGGCTCATCCTGGGTCTATAAAAACTACCAGCCCTACCATCGCATGCAGCATCTACTCCGGCGGCCTTTCCAGCTGGAGAGCCTGCGTCTTGGCCGTTTGAGGTTTATGTCTGCAAGGTTCGTGGTTTTGGCTTTGTTTTCACGCAGGGACAACAGCTGCAGCTGCGCCTGGAGCAGCAAGAATCCAACGAAGAGCAGTAAGGATACAGAGCTCAGCATATCGCGGACTTTGGTGCAACATTGGCTGCCACTCTAGCTGTGTACACAGCCATAACATAATCCTCCAAGTCTTAGCCTCAAAGTCCTGAAAGTTAAGTCGGTAAGTATTATATACTCCCCTTGGTAACCACCAATAACACCACCACCATCGCCGCCACCACCACCACCACAACCAGAATCACCACCACCATAACTCCGACAACCCCTCCCCACTCCTACGCCAATGCCGATGCCCATGCATGTCCCTATGTACTCCCACCAGTCCTACTCCACTCCTACTGCTGCTGCGGCTGCTGCACCTGCCACTAGACCTAACGTGCCCCCCACCTAATAATAGCCCAACCCACAAGCCCCACAACTGTGCCCCAGGGGGAACTTGGTATACAAACCTACAGCACTCCACAAACCTGTCGGGACCACAACAATCTACACAAATCCTAAAAGACCTTCGACCCTCGGGGGTAAGGCTGTCCTTGCGCTTCTTCTGGGCCGGGGGGTCATCCTTGAAGCTCGGGTCGACTTTGTACCTGGCATGGGAAGAGCTCTGAAACCCCAAACCCAGACACAGAAACTGTACAAGCGTTATACAAACAGGAGCGGGGGGTACTCCTACGGTTGATGATATAAACCCTGCATTACCCATAATAAGGAATATGAACCCCAAAACCCAGGACTCCGAACCCCTCAACTCAAAAACCACTGGGGCCCTACAGAGGCTCCAGACCCTGTGCCGCAATCCAGCCCTGAAGCGGCTTCGACATCTAGGCACCCTTGGGTACTTGGAGGATCATGGGACTTATTAACTCAGGCTATAAATAAGGTAACTATACTTATTATCCCAATTAGGATACTTATAACCTTACTTACTAAGTCCCATGATCCTCCAAGTAAAAAGCACCGCAAAGGCTTACGGGCTTGAGGATGCCGGATTTCGGGCTTAGGAGCTTAAGGTTCACGGTAGAGCATCGAAGGGTTCACCGTTTCAAGGTTTAGGGGTTTAGGGTTTAGGGGCATCTTTCCCTACGAAGCCTGTGACTCTCCGGCCCTGCCGAACCACTTTTCAACGGGGTGCATCCGGCTAGCCGTGGTTCTGAATCGAAGCCATACACCCGAGATTCTGAACCCCTACTTGGAGGATCATGGGACTTAGTAGGTGAGGTTATAAGTACCCTAATTGGGGTTAGAATGATAGCTACCTTATTTTTTAACCCTAGTTACTAAGTCCCATGATCCCCTAAACTTATCGGCCCTCGCCCTCGACCCGAAGATCAAGAGCTCCTCCTTCCCTTGCAGACGGGAGCCCTCAAAATCGCACTCCACTGGCCTACCCAGAGAGCCCAATACCCCTTAATTAAGGAATATACCTTAAATCATAATACTAAGGCCCTCATAATGATTTAAGGTATATTCCTAAACCTTAAACCCTTATAGGTCCCTTTAAGGCCCCTATAGTTTAAGGTCTATTCCTTATTTAAAGGGTATTGGGCTCTCTGGGTACTCTGATGCACCTCTCCCCTGGGCCACCCGGCTTGTAGAGCTTCTGTGACTGCTCGGACGTGGCGGCATCCAGGTCCTCACATCTTCGGGCTTTGGGGCTTAGGATTTGGGGTTCAGGGTGCGGCTCCGGGAGTGGAGTTCCAGATTTTGAGGGAGTTTGGGGGGGTTGGGGTTTAAGGCTTTGTGTGATTTGGTGCAGCTTGTTGAAGTTGAACCTTTAGGGTGGAGCGTGTGAGACGCTGGCATTTTGAGGGGTTCGCAGTTTGGGCTTGAAGCTTAGGAGGCTAGCGCTTAGGGACTACGATGTAGCATGCACCCCTAAACCGTAAACCGTAAACCCTAAAGTGTAAGCTGGCGAATAGAACTGTGTCTGTGTGGTTTTTGTTTAAGTTTTATCTGTGTGGGTTTTGGGGTTTAGGGTTTAGGGTTGCGCTTCATCTAGTACCTGTATTCTCTCTCAAAAAGACATCTTCAGGGATACACTTGCTACTTTTATGCAGTTACGAGCCCCACCTCTATTGTTAGCAGCAAAACGCACGGACTTTTTGCGTACTTGAGCCAACGAGTAGCGAGTATGAAAACGTTGCACAACTGAAAGTATACGCTAGGTAAAAACAAGCTCATGCAACAGCGAGATGTTGGTACCCAGCCCCTTCACCAGAACGATGAGAAGTTCCTCCAAGTGCCAATAGCCGTCTCCAGCACGTCCGATAAACGGCTACCCAAACCCTAAACCCCAAACCCAAAACCCTTAAACCCTGAACCCAAGAGCCCTCAACCCTAAACCCAAGAATCCTAAACCCAAAACCCTAAACCCAAGAACCCTAAACCTCCAACACCCCAAAACCTAACCCCCAAGGACCCTAAACCCTAAACCCTAAACCCAGGAGCCCTACTTGGAGGATCATGGGACTTAGTAGCTAGGGTTATACAAAAAAGGCAACTGCAATTATAACCCCAATTAGGGTACTTATAACCTTACTTACTAAGTCCCTAAACCCTAAACCCTAACCCTAAACCCTAAACCCTAAACCCCAAACCCTAAACCCTAAACCCTAAGCCCTTACTTACTAAGTCCCAGGATCCTCCAAGCACAGCCCCGACTTTTCTCGGGCGCTTGCCTTGTCCAACTTCGCGAGCCTGCGCTGTTCGAGCTCCAACCTGGGCCATAAAGGGCTTTAGGGTTTAGGATTTAGGGTTTAGGGGTTTAGGGTTTAGGGTTTAGGGTTTAGGGTTTAGGGTTTAGGGTTTGGGGTTGTGATGTCGACTTTGGGTTTAAGGTTTGCGGTTTAGGGTTTAGGGTTTCGGGTTTAGTGGGGCTGAAGGCTTTTAAGTTTTATGTCCAGCTCCTGTGAAGAAACTCTAACCTCTTTAGAGGATCAGGGGACCTACTCGGCAGGGGTTTTCGGAATAATTTTAAAACCTGATTAAGGTACTTACCCGTATCTAAGTCCAATGATCGCTGAGCGAACTCTTCAAAGTCTACAGTGTAATCCAAATGAAGCCCTGTAAAAGTCAATAACGCTGTGACGCCCTTAGAAGCCCCCACAAACCGAAAACCTCTAAACTTCTCTCAAGTAGTAACCCCCCAAGGGTTGTTCCTGAATACGTCGGACCTTGTCTCAAAACAACGTAAAAAATCACTAGTTTCGGCGTTTTGGGTGTGGTGCTTCTTTGCGCAACGGTAATAAGGACAAGCGTGCTCACGAGTCTCATCATCGTTGCGAAGAGGAGCTACTTGGAGGATCATGGGACTTAGTAAGTAAGGGTTTAGGGTTTTAGGGGTTTAGGGCTTTTAGGGTTTAGGGCTTAGGGTTTAGCGTTAGGGGAGTAAGGTTATAAGTACCCCAATTGGGGTTATAATTGTAGCTACCTTACATATAACCCTGGTTACTAAGTCCCATGATCCTCCAAGTAGGATCTCTTTAGGGCCTCCCTCACTCCCAGCATCGGGTTGACCAGGTCATGATCCGTTTAAGGGTGCGAGACGTCGGAGAGAAGGAGTGCGCCGAAGTGGTTCAAATCTTGAAACTGGGAGACCTCCGAAAGCCGAGACCTGCGACCTAAGACACTTTGTAGTATATTACAGCAACTTTAGAATATATGTTGTAGCCTACTGGTATTTGATAGTATCTTCTGGCATATGAGTTATAGTATATTATAGTCACAGGAATCAGGAAGGCACTTTCCCGTGGTCAGCTCGATGTCACGCTCGAGTCGTTCCCTTGGCAACAACAGGGATGGGGTTGAGTACTTGCTGCTTGGGCTCAGTGAACCTGCCGGAGTGCTGCAACATGCGAAAGTCACTACCCAACCCGCGCATGTCGGCCCTGTTCTGTTGCCTTTCCCTTACCTAACCTTGCAAGACCCATCGCACGCCCTCCCAAGCCCCACAAAACCTCAGACCTTCAACCCAACCTCGGTTCGGTTGCTGAGTGCGGCACCTGTGGTTCTGACGGTAGTCGTTGTAAGATCCTTCAGATTCGCCAAACTTTCTTCGTTCTTCATCCGGCTTGATCAGGCTGGCTAATGCTCTACGGTTCTGTTTGGGTGTTCCGGTCCGGCTTCAGGGCTCAAGGTATACGGTATAACGGCTTCAAACCTTCCAAGGTTTACGAAGCTTAGGCTTTAGGAAGCGAGCTTCAGAGTTTCGGATCCATGTCTAACCATTAGGGAATCGCGATGGCCACGCAAATAAGTATAGCAAGTGCACAATACTCCTGTTGGCTACTATCATGATCATTATAAGTCGTTTTTTAGGAGGAATAGAATAGCTGTAACAGCATGGCAGCAACTCTGTACAGCAGACTCTTTTAGACGCTCGACTAAGAAATTGAACCTATATCGGTTCGTCAACACGCCAATGTCGACCACCAAAAGTCAACTTCAAAAGGCCACGTGCGGGACTACAACAAAGCAAAGGCAGTCTTCATGACTACGATGGAGTTGCGAACCCGCAGTGTCGAAAGCTCCAGCCTAATGCGCACACTCAATCGAGTCGCAGCCGTCATCACATCATCATCGTTATCATCATCATCATCATCATCATCATCATCATCATCATCATCATCATCCCCCGGCCTCCACTGATTTGCGAGGTACCGGTCGCCCCGCTAACATGCCTGGCAGGAGGCACTCGTTTGCAAAGCGACCGCACAAGGAGGAGATGCATGGGGAGACGATTCCAGCGTTCAGAGTGTCTGGCTCTGCTTCTGGGCCATGGTGGGTGGGTGCTCAAGGGCCAGAAGTACCTCAATCTTGGAGGGATGCTCAGAGATATGCTACCACTTTGAACGGAACCTTTCTTATTTCATGTATGGCTTGAGATAGACCACTAAGAGCTCTGAAAGTCAAAACCACCGAACTGAACCGAAGCACCCCCCAGACCCCAAAACCCTTAGAGTCTAAGCTTTTAAGTATCGGCCCCTGATTGGACCCTTAGGCCTTCTAGGGGGTTTCTCGGGACCCGTGAGGGTCAGATAGAATAGATATCAAGTATATACGGATCCGAGGGTTAAGGGCCAACTCTAAGGAGCCCTTTAAACTCAAAGGGTCCACCCTGAGGAACCCTGAACCCCAAACCCCACAAAACCCCTACAGTGACAGTGACCCTTAAAGGATCCCTCATAGATCCCTTAAAGGGATCCCCTACTATAGCACCCTTCGAGCAGCCCTAAAGAACTCGTCGCCGCGACTGAGGCCCGCGGTCGTTGAAGCTGGAAGTGTCCATGGAGATGCCATCGCGCGAGTCTCGGTTGCATAGGGTTTAGGGTTTAGGGTTTAGGGTTTAGAGTTTAGGGTTTAGGGTTTAGGGTTTAGGGTTTAGGGTTTAGCTCTGGGGCGCTCTACTTGGAGGATCATGGGACTTAGTAACTAGGGTTATAAATAAGGCAACTAAAATAATAACCCCAATTAGGGTACTTAAAACCTTACTTACTAAGTTCCATGATCCTCCAAGTAAGGGGTACGAAAGGGTGTCGTTGTAGGGGGGTCTCTCTAGAGTTTGCTTGGAGGTCTTCTTGTAGGGCTTCCTATCGTCTTATAAGCTTTCTGGGTTCTTAGGATTGTTGGGCTTTTGGGTATCCGGGGTTTCAGGATTAAGAGGGCTTGCTGCGTTCAGGGTTTAGCAGCTTACAGGGCGTTGAGGGTTCACGGTTTTGAGTTTCTGTGGCCTAGGGACAGGGCCGGGAAACTCAAGGTCCAGATTGTTTAGGGTTTAGGGGTTTAGGGTTTAGGGTTTAGGGTTTAGGGTTTAGGGTTTAGGGTTTAGGGTGTAGGGTTTAGGGTTTAGGGGGAGCTCGACTCTCCCGAATTTCTCTCGAAAGACAAAGGCCACTCGCCTAACGCCCTGAAGTCGAAATGCCTAGAATCCCAACAAGCCCCGGAAACCAAATGCGTAAATCCTGCAGCCCTAAACCCCAAAGCAGGCCCAAGGAGCGTGTCGATGGAACATGTGTGGACACCTGTTGGAGGGACTCCTTCGCAAGACAGAAAGGTCCAAAGGTGCAGGGCTTTGGTTTTTGCTATTTTTGCTACAAATGGCTGGGGATTTTAGGCTTGCGGAGCCCTTCCCTAAACCCTAAACCCTAAACCCTAAACCCTAAACCCTAAACCCCAAACCGCTTGAGCTTGGAGGGATTTGGGAGCTTGTGCGGCTCTCAGGTTCAGGGCTTCGGGGCGTTCGAGCTTAGGGCTCTAGGGCTCGGGGGCTTTGAGAGTCTGCCCGGTTTCCGGCCTCTTGCCTGTACGGGTTGAAATACTTCGAGGATCATGGGACTTAGTAACTAGGCTTATAGACAAGGTAACTATAATTATAATGACCCCAATTGGGGTACTTATAACCTTACTTACTAAGTCCCATGATCCTCCAAGTAAGGCCCATAAGGCCCCGACAACCCTGAATCCCTGGCCTCGGAAGGGGTGGGTTTTTTTGCCCAGTTCTAAGGGAGCCGACCGGGTCCCTTTTGGGGACCGCTTTTATAAGGGTGCCGTATTATATTGGGGCCCTAAACCCTAAACCCTAAACCCTAAAAAAGGGACCCTAATTGAGAGAACTACCCATCTTCCGAATGCTTGGGGTTCGCTTCTGCAGCCGGGAGGTCTCGGATGAAGGATTTAGGCTCTATTTGTCAAACGTCTTACAAAGGGGGCCCAGGGGTCAGGGTTTAGGGTTTAGGGTTTAGGGTTTAGGGCATCCGCATCTTCGGGAGGTTTCGGACGTAAAGACTCCTATACTACGACCTGCAAAAACCTTAAATATATAGACTCCAGACTTCTTCTGACCCTTGAGCTTAAGGCTAAAGTCTCGCACCTGGGGGCCCGAGGACCCTCGAGTCCAGGAGGGGACAGTTCCCGGCCCTGACCCGAAAGCCCTGAGCACTAAAGTCCCGAGAGACTCCAATATCCCTTAATTAAGGAATATACCTTACCTTAAATCATATTAGGGATCCTGCTATAATTTAGGGTATATTCCTTCATTAAGGGATATTGGAGTCTCTGAGTGGTCTAACGGCTCCTGGGGCGAGGTAAGCTTGCCTTTCCTTGGTCGCAAGCGCACCCCGCAGGCACAGCGAAGAGCGTCTCGTGCAGGGCATGTACACTTCGCCAGCAGGACCCCTATCAGCAACAACAGCAAAAACAAGAAGGAAGCAAGGACAAGGAGGAGGAAGAGGATATGCAAAAAGGCAGAACTTTCGCACTCTCCTCATCATCATCATCATCATGATGCAGCAGCAACAAGAGGATCGATAATACATAAGATCAATCAAACTCAGGGGCTCAGCCATAGTCGAGCAGAGCAGAGTCCGGTAACGCGGGTAACCTTCAGAACACGCACCAGGCTGGCCCAAGACTGGGCACCGCACGAAGCCATGGCGTCGCGCGTGAAGCCAGAGACGGCTTCCAGACTTGTACAAGCTTGAGATCGGTGTAAACTATGACCAGAGGTACTTCATTGTAGATGTGTGTGCTTGTGTCTGTTACTTGGTGAGATCACCTCGAGGTAGAGACGAATATGAGATGGTCATCTCCCGAGTCATGACATTCCTTCAGACTCCCACCCTTCTCTTCTTGAAGCAGTGGCAAAGCGTCGTTCCACAGGTGAAGGAAAATTGACTGAAGGGCTCCATTCCAGAAGTCAGTGCTTAATTCTCCCTTTCCTGTCGCTCTTTTCATTGATGCTTTGGCGCGCCAATGCGAAGCCTATGCGCAGGCGCTGGCGATCGTAAACGGTGTAGTACCGCCTTCGACAGAAGTCTCACCCCTCCAGCCGCTCAAGCCATCAAGCAACGCACACACACCCACACACCCGCACGCATACACACACAAGACATAATGACCCGAATCACACCGACCCCCGATGCACCTCAGGAAGGGATCACCAAGCAGGAAAAGCGGACCGTCAGGACGCGGGACGTCTACCGCCATCAGCTGCAGCTCACAGGTATCCTGGTGAAGCACAGAGCGGAGGATCCACAAGGGCTACAAAAGTTACAGTATATTAGAAATTTATAAATTATTAATTTATCAAATAATAATCGTTAAAATGAACGAAGCTAATTTTAAACATTATTGGGTTGGGTTTTGGATTGTTGAAGCTCAGAGAGACTTTTCGTTGTGGCCAGCACCGTTTTCAAGCTGCCTTCATGTCTCATACTTGGAGGATCATGGGACTTAGTAACTAGGGTTATAAAATATAAGGTAACTCTAATTATAACCCCAATTCAGGTACTTGTAACCTTACTTACTAAGTCGCATGATCCTCCAAGTAGCAAACCTTCCGGGGATCTGGACTCGAAGGCTTGAAACCCGCGCCTGGGAGGGAGCCGCAGGTGGAAGCAGGCAACAGCGCAACACCAAAACCCAAACCGAAAGATCCCAAGCTCTCAAGCGCAAACTGAAAACTCCGGAAACTTAAACCCAGACTCCCTGAACCTCCCCCCCTTCCAAAAGCTGACTTTCTGCGAAACTCAAAACACAATAAGCCCTTCGAAGGCCCCACCACAGCCCGAACCTTAGGGTTTACCCTAAACGCCAAGCCCTAAACCCTAAACCCTAGGGTTTAGGGTTGCCCTGAGAACCCCAAGGCGCACCTCCTCCCGCTCCACGTAGTCTTGTGGGGTCAGCTCCAGCTCCAAGTCCACCTTCCGGCAGTCTTCTTCGGGGGTCTAGGGTTTAGGGTTTAGGGTTTAGGGTTTAGGGTCTAGGGTTTAGGGTTTAGGGTTTAGGGTTTAGGGTTCAGCAGCTCCGGATCGAGCAATTTTATAGTAGAGTTGTATTTACGGTCTCGATATAACACCCACCCACCCTAAGAATCCCATAGCATTAGGAGAATACAAAGTTCCTTTCATCATCATTCAGCGAAATTCTATTTTCAATTTAGCTTCACCACAGCCTAGAACCCTAAATCCTAAACCCCAGAATTTGCAAATCAAGGCCGGAGTTTGTCACGTTAAATTCTCTTCGTAAAATATGTATTTTAGATTGGGCTAGTGGCCGATCTCGCGAAGAACCCTTTCCCAAAATGTGACCGCTATTACAATCCGAAATCTTTAAAATTGCAAAGCAGAACCGGGTTTTGCTACGTTAAATTCTCTTCGTAAAATGTGTGTTTTAACTTGGGCTGGTGGCCGATCTCGGGGAGGACCCTTTCCCAAGATGTGGCACCTCAAATTTGCCGAAAAACGACGAACTGCATGAGGTCCGTAGGCTGGAACCCGGAAATTGCCGAAACGACGAACTGAATGAGGTGCCGGAACCCGGAATTTTGCCGAAAAAATTGCCGAAACGACTGCCGGGAACCCGGAATTTTGCCGAAAAAATTGCCGAAACGACGAACTGAATGAGGTGCCGGACCGAACCCGAAATTGCCGAAACGACGAACTCAATGAGGTGCCGGGAACCCGGAATTTTGCCGAAAAAATTGCTGAAACGACGAACTCAATGAGGTGCCGGGAACCCGGAACTTTGCCGAAAAAATTGCCGAAACGACGAACTATATTAAAGTTTAAATATACATCTGATAAAGAGGTTTAGGGTCTCTTATTTGGGGGGGTCTCTTAGTTTTGGGGTCTCTTAATGGACCTTAAATTATAGGGTTTAGGGTTTAGGGTTCCTTAAGTAAGGAGTATACCTTAAATTATAGGGGCCCTTTTTTATGATTTAAGGTCTATTCCTTAATTAAGGGGTATTGGGCTCTGTGGGTTCCGGCATTCTTATTTGGGGTCTCTTTATGGCATCGGCCTTTTCGTAGGGCTTAGGCTTTGGGCTTCGGGTGTAAAGGCCACCGCCGTCTGGCAGAGTCTGACCGTTTGAAGTGTCCGAAGAGTTCAAGTCTTTTGCGTCATATTATATATATATATATACAATATCTGTATATATATATATAGTATTTAATATATATTAATATATATATATATATATAGTATAATATACATATATATATATATGTATACATGGGCTTGGAGTGCAGGATTTGCGTTTCAGTGTTCTACACCGGCAGAGGAAGGCTTCAGCGCTTCTGGGAACTGGCTCGGGCCCGGGTCGGCGATTCGGTGCAACGAGGAATGAGGAGAGGATCAGGAAAAGGATGGGAACGAGGCGGCCAGGGTGATAACAGTGCTTGTGGATATCATGCTGGTCTTCATGACAATCATGCTGACGGCCACTGAAATGATTGTGTCCTAAGATCACGTCTACAATCGCCACCAGACTGGGCACGACCGAAATTCGGATCTTCTACAATCTGCTGAATCACCATGAACAGTCTTGAGTCTAGGAATAGTTGCAACATCTATCGAAGTAAAAAGCGGAGCGATCCTGTACTGTCCCGATGCTGCGACCTCCTCCAAGAGAAAGCCAAGGGTGGGGAGTGCATCGAAATTGCTGCAATCCGGTGCAACCTGCCGATCATGTCTGTCGAGGGTTGAGCGTCTAGGGCCTAGGGCTTGAGGGTAAGAGAGTTGGCGTCCAGGATTAGGCGTTGGGGAGGCACCATAATATATAAGCCAAATAATGAGAATAGGTTTTGGGGTTCATTATACTGTATTCATAATAAGGAACCCGCGAAATAATATTGGTAATTGTTTAGGCCGCTTTTGTATAGGGATTTTCTATGTACATTGCCTTCTTGCCCTGGTCTGAATTCATCAACCTCTATGCTGAGTTGCAGGGCATGCATGCTTTGCCGGCGAGTTTCCGTGCAAACTGCACAGATTCAAAGGCTCCGCGGCTGTGACTATGAATGGTAGCAGAGATTGCTCATTTTCTTGCTGCTGCTACCACTACTTGGAGGATCATGGGACTTAGTAACTAGGCTTATAAATCAGGTAACTATAATTAAAACCCCAATTTGGGTACTTATAACCTTACCTACTAAGTCCCATGATCCTCCAAGTAGTCCTACTGCTCCTCCTCTGCTACTTCGGCCTGGAGAAGTTCTGCCAGCTGCCGCGCGAGGCGGGTGGGCGCTGTCAACGCGGAAGTCCTGGTAATGTAGGGGCCTTACTATTTAGAGGTTGTTCCCGTTAAGGGTTCTTTAAGGAGTACAACAGGGGTGCTCTGACACTGCTCTTCAGGCTCTAAGATCGGGGCCTCTGGGAAAACATGCTTTTAGAGTATCTTCGAGTAGGGTTGCATAGGTACAAGGGGATACTTTTACGAATCATTCAGGCTCGTTCATTCGGCTGCTGGGAACTCTTCCGATCTGGAGAGAAAGAGAGACGGCCTGCGGTAACTATAGGGGTCACTAGACGAGCCACTGCAGGGCTTGAGGGCCGTACGGAGATCGGGGTTTGGGAGGACGATGGGGATAATCACAATCTTGACTCACGGCGACAAGAAGAATCGTTGCTACTGTTACTAGTCGTGTTATACGTTCTGTTCATTCAGACATCCAGTAAGAGTGCTGGCAGTCTAAATATGGGGGTTTCCGAAAATAGGGACCCTAATATAGTACCCTAAATAGTAGGATCCTTATTATAAGGACCCCCAAATAAGGTACCCCTCATTTTCGGAAACTCCCATATGGAGAGTGCTGATACTGCAGCCATGGGACTTGTTGGCACTGGGATCACGAAGATGACCGGTTTAGGGTTTAGGGTTTAGGGTTTAGGGTTTAGGGCTTAGGGTCATATCACCATATTTGTTATTGCCACAGCTGCTTCGACTACTTTGACGATCTCTGGATGTTGGTGGCTTCTGCGCTGTAGGTCTAAGGAATGAAATAGCCGGTGTCTTGGAAGAGGGGTGTCAACCCGAGATCTGCAAGAACCTAAACTTGAAACCCTTGCCGAAAACCTGAGCCCTAAACCCAAAACCCTAAACCCTAAACCCTAAACCCAAACAACGCAGAACTTGTGGCTCCCGGTGTCGAGGGCGGCGGCGCAGGCGGTGTAGGAGCCGGGGGCCCCGCAGAGATCCGTCTTGGAGCCATTCAGGGTCAGATCTGTGAGGGACACCTGAAGCGGGTTTGGGGTTCAGGGTTTAGGGTGTAGGGTTTACGGGCCCGGGTTTTCGGGCTTAGGGTGTGCGGGAGGCTTCAAGTGGCTGTGGCTTTGGCGATCGGTGAAAGAGGGGGTTGGGACTGAGTTTTCATTGGCTTCTACTGAGGTTCGGCTGAGATTTGTGAGGCCTCCCTAGGAGTGGCTCATGGAAACTATACATCGGGAAGCAGAGTCTTGAAGGATGGTTGGGTTCAGGGCCTTGGGGTTTACGTTCCAGGGCCCCGCCTGCCAGAATCCAGGCTTCCAGACAGGTGCCCACTTCAGCTCGGACTCCATCCGCTTAACATCCACCTTCCCGAAGCTGATCTCGCCCCCCTCAAGGGAGAAGTAGACGGCAAAGAGCGGCCGGGTAAGCTTCCGACTCTTTACCTACAGTCACAGCAAAAAGCAGTTCGATCAGAATGTGTCAATACAAACAGCAGCAACAACAGCAATACTAGTGATGGTCATATGAATCCGGCTTGGAATAATGATGTTGACCAGAAAGAGAAGAGCCATTATTCCAAAAAAACTAGTTACATCCCAGTCACCAACTCGTCGAAGAGGCAGAAGCCGTGATCCTGGGAAAGCTGTGGAAGGGCCAAGCCAAGCACTCCATCATAGGGCGCATTGAGAAACGGGTGCTCACTTTGGTTCGTGGCCTCCACAAAGCTCAGGGCTGTGCAGAGGCCTTGTCCCACGCACACCTGGTCCTTCGCATAGTGGCCGGTGACTTGTCCCGTGCCGAAAGTCAGCGTCACGGCCTCGCGGGTGTAGTTGCTGGCCTCGATGTCTTTCAAGCACAGCTCACGCTCTGCTGTGCTCGATTGCCCGGCATCGTAGCGGCTGCTTTGCAGGCAGCTTGGTGCTAAACAATGACTCGAAGGGATCACAACATTGGCACTCCCAGTGTCAAAGATCATGCGAAAGCTCTGGCTTGGTGAACCGACTTCCACCTCTGCAAAGTACTCGACCGTGCTTTGCCGTCGCCCCCAGCTGTCGGGCAAGAGCCTCCGCTGCCTTGTCAGTGATACGACCACCTCTCCGGGCTGCGCAGACGTCCCGCCGAGCGGTTGAAGAAAGGCCAGAGTGGCCACCAGGCACCTTCTTCTCTGCTTCATGCCGAAACCCGGAACCTGAGGCCCTAAACCCGAACGAAGAGACCGCACGCCCAAAGCGCTCAAAAAACAAAGCATTGCCAAAACTGGCCCTCAATTGAACCGCCTGATATGCCAAGGATGCGTCGGAGAAGAAGTCGCACGCATCCTGCACATGGTACAATCGGCTACACCTGCACTGAATACTATACGACACTCTAACTAATAATAGGGACATGACCGATTACAAGAAGAATACCAGTGACGGTAAAGAACATTAATCTATACACTAATCGATACAGCTATAGCACAGTACCTCTACAAGCATAGCGCAGTTATCTTGACGGAAGTAATGACACCAGTCCTGCACCACGCGGCTGCGAGGCGGCATCGCCGGAGCGCTTGGATCCATCGGGCACATCAAGGAAACGTGGAAGATCATGGTTAGGTAACGGTTTCAGGTCTAAGGTTTAGGGGTTTAAGGGTTTAGAGTTTAAGGGCTTAGGATTTACATAGGGAGATTAGGGCTTAGAGCTTTAGGGTTTAAGGATTAGGGTTTAGGGGTTAGGGTTTAGTGAATCTAGGTTTTAAGGGCTTGGGCTTTATGGGTGTTGAGGTTTGCAGGCTTGGGTTACCATACTGGGTAAGTTGGAATAGGGTTCAAAGTACTTTACATACTTAAATGGTGCTACAGGTAACCTGCCCGAACTGCTGGGCCCTGCGACCCTCCAAGTATTGAGCAAAGCGTCCCCTTCGGGGTTGCATGGAGGAACGTCAAACCCTAAACCCTAAACCCTAAACCCTAAAACCCTAAACCCTAAACTACCCTAATCCCTAAACCCTGTGCCGGGGCTCATGGTGGGGAGCAGCCCTGCAAGCCTTTGGGAAAATTAAGCCAGGTTGCTACAGGCTGTGTGCTGTCTGCGCACGCCGAACTGCAGCATGATACTGGATGCACTTATCCGCGTCCTGAACCCATTGTTTTCCGGATCTTGGCCTACTTCAATTTCAGATGACTGCCAAGTGCAAACATGTCTGTCTGCGACCCAGTGCTGTGATCCAGCAATGCTTAATGGATGCTGATGCGCAATGCGCCCTCTGCGTGAGTTTTTCTGACGCGCGTTTCCTTTAAAAGATGCACCGGCGAGAGCTGGCCCTTGCTGGGAGTTTCAGAAAGTTAGGGGTATCTTATTTTGGGGTCCTTATAATAGGGATCCTATTATTTAGGGTACTATATTAGGGTCCCCTATTTTCGGAAACCCCCTGCTGTGAAACCTGGATCGTGATGGCATGCCAACACGAGCAAGCAAGCTATGCGGAAACTAATCCAAACTAATCCTGCAAGTCTTAGAAGCCCTGCCGCCCTCTGTTTGTGGGTGCTTCCAGCAGAAAGAAGACCCAAAGTGCAAAGCAAGGCTGTGGCTTTCGGCCTCAGAAAGGTAAGGAGAGCAGAGACAATGGCATGTGGTTAATGGATAAATTGCGCAACCATGCGAAGTAGCTGCACCCTGACGAGAACCTTTATTTCTGTCATTTAAGCAATGGATACCTAATATGAATACATTTGAGCGAATTGAACCAGCTTCTCACAAGCCAGCAATCCTCTACAGCCATGGGACTGCCTAAGCGAAACCCGGAGTGCAAACCGAAAAACTTTGGAGTCAACAGGCTTAGCCCTAAACCCGACATCAGGAGCTTGCTTGCCGGCGTTGCTGCAAATGTTCGTCAACCGTGGACCAATCGGCGGGCTTCCGTCAGCAGGTGGCGGTGATTTTTTTGACGGGACTAGTGTTCAGGGATTTGGGTTCCGAAGCTTATGGCTGTAGGTTAGTCTTCAACAGCTGGAAAACCCTAGGCCTGAGTTTGGTTGCACCTCAGAGCTCGAAATCTGTTAGATTCTTTGGCTCGTCTACAACAGGAACGTGAAAGGAGGTTCGGAGTCTTCGGTTCGGCCTCGTCTTGAACTACTGGGCCCCGAAACAAGGCCGGCGTTCAGGCGTTCACGCCAGCACTGAGTCGGCACACGCAAGCACAAAAGCCAACCAAGGTGGTGTTACGAACGTTCGGGGGTGATGAGATGGGTGGCCAATAGTCTGGTGGCTGTGTGGCTTTAGGGCTTAAGCTGGTCGTTGGGTTTGGAGGGCCGTGGTTAAAAAGTCTAGGAATTTGGAATTATATAAGTATTTACGCTTTTGTGCTTTGCACTTAGTACTTCAAGGTAAAGGTTCAGAACGCAGAGCAAGGCGACATGCAAGCACCCGAAGCCCTAAACTAAACATAACTAAACCCTAAAAACCACTGGACCTTGACAATCATATTATGATGGCGAATGGCGAAAGTCTTCATGTATCATCAGCCTTTGACCGCCGTGTAACCTATGCCCTGAAAGTCAGCCGAGACCTCCACGATCAAAGCTCTGCGACAAGAGAGGTAGGCTTCGCCCCGTGGGCTAGGCAGCATGCAAGCAATCGCCGCGAAGATCACAGCATTAGATGAAACGAAATAGCACTATGAACCCCTTCGATAACAGCACGGGTGATTCGACCGTACAACAGAAAATACTGCGCTTCCAAGTACAGCTCAAACCTTGAATCCCAAAACCTTCGACCCTGAATGCTGAATTCCCAAACCCTAACTCCCAAACACCACACACCTTCAAGTCAAGAGCATGACCAAAACCCGAGAAAAGGATTGATCACATGCCGCTTGCTGAGCGCGACAGAAACGCCGTTGGGCTGCAGCTGTCTCTGCCTCGGATTTATGCCAAAGCGCATCAAGTCCAGGATTTCGAGATTCCAGGCTTGAGTTACCTGCCGTCCTGGGAAACTAAGGCCCACTTCAAGGCACTACAACACACGCTTCTTCAGTATACTACAGTGCAAATATCTCTTTAGAGAGAGAGAGAGAGACAGCGAGCGACAGGATATAGAGACGACATGAGACGACTCGTGGAGACAACAATAGCAACCAGACTAACACTAGCATTGACAAGAATAGCAGAGATCATGATAGTCAACTCAGCCGCAGACCCCAACAGAAACTGCTCCGTCTCTGACTAGGACGTGCCCGTACTTACAGGGACGCTGGACGACAGGGATGGAAACCCACCGGGACACTGGTGGCTGTTGGACAAATACAGAACGGAAATTGGTAGTATCAGAAAAACTTAGACTCATTCTGACAAAATTCATAATCATTATCGCCGCAGTCATCTCGAGAGCAATCATAAGCCCCAAATCCAGACCCTACAGAATGACAAATCCGGTGCCTTATGCGCACCGACTAAGCCCCCAACTCAGCCGCTACGATCTCATCATCGCGATGAACCTCCAGAAGCCGGCTGGGTTTGGGGCCCAGCGAATAGGGCGAGCCCTTGCACAACATCTGGAACCCTAAACCCTAAACCCGAAAACAAATGAACCCCAACCATGGAAACTCCTCGCAGCCTTAAACCCTTCAAGGCCTGCGACCCCTCGACCAATCTACCTGCCTATATCCCTATGTACCTGTCGACTTGATTGTGCATATCTGTATGTGTATATATATATATATGCATGTAGGTACTTACGTACGTACGTATGTATGTATATATGTATGTATGTATGTATGTATGTATGTATGTATGTATGTATGTATGTATGTGTGTACGTATGTCTCTACTTATCTACATAAGTCTTTGTTCAGCTGATCACACAGAAATATCTATATAATATATATATATATATATATGTATACATATATCTATATATGTATACACATGTATACACACACTCACAAATTGAGAACCAACCCACGGAGATCTCAGGAAGCCGCTCGTGGAAATCGATGAATCCTGACGGTCCCATGGCAGGGCTTGGGATCCCTCTGAACTTCTAATGTAGGGGCCTTAATAGTTGGAATAGGGTTGTGGGGGCTCCTTATCATAATTATAGGATAATATATACCCCAGACCCTATTCTAATTCTGAAGGCTCCTATAATAGGGCCTGGGGCTTGAAGCGGGGCTTTCAGGCTTGAGATGTCGGCCGATGGATTTCGACGCGGCGGGATGGGGCGCGGCTTTACACGGGTAGTTGTCAAAATTATGGTCCCTTTGGGGTACCCTAAATAATAGGTGCCGTATTATAATAAGGACCCAAAAAGGGACCCTAATTTTGACAACCATCCACATTGGGTTCGAAGGCTGCTTCTCAGGCACCTCGGCCTGTCAATCCGAAGAGGCTTATATAGAGTTGCTTGGGCGCTTTAAGTACTGTGAGACTCAAGGCTAGGAGAATCAGGACTCAAGGCCAAAAGCTTCGGTGATGATGCGGCGACGACAGGGATGATGTTGATGATGATGATGAAGATGATGATGATGATGATGGCCATGATGATGATGGTCATGATGATGATGATGCTGATGATGATGACGTGGATCAGGAGGATGATGGTGATGATGCTGATGATGATGCTGATGATGCTGGTGATGATGTGATGATGATGATGATGATGATGATGATGGTCATGATGATGATGGTCATGATGATGATGATGATGATGATGTGGATCAGGAGGATGATGGTGGTGATGCTGATGATGATGCTGGTGATGCTGGTGATGATGCTGATGATGCTGATGAAGATGATGGTCATGATGATGATGATGATGATGAAGATGATGGTCATGATGATGATGATGATGATGATGATGGTCATGATGATGATGAGGAGGAGGAGGAGAGGAGGATGAGGCGGAGGATGGACAAGGAAATACATGGAGATGAGATGAAGAAGAAAATGGTAACAACGAAAGCCCAAGCTGCTGTTCAAGGCCTTGCCATATCTGCTTGATTTCGCGATTCGGGTTATGTGCTTGAAAAGCACCTGAATTCGCTGAGCCCTGCACACAACCCCAATCCCGGAAGATAACAACCAAGGGTTTACGCTGTACAGGTCGAGTTCGAAGATTAGGAATGTTGGGGGTGACTGTTAAGGCTGATAGGGCTGCTAGAGCTGGCTGGAGAAACTGGGGCCGAAGGGACCCGTCAGCTGCTCAGGCCCAGGCCGTCTCCGTTCGTGTCGACCTCCGCCAATATCTTCTTGATCTGCTCCTGTGAAGCCACGGCCGCTAGCCGACAAAATCTTCTAGAAGTGATGAAACCTCCCACATGCTCTCCGGACATGAAAACAGAAGGTTCATTCGCATTACAAAACATCCTGCAGGCGAAATCGACAATTTGAGGCGAACCTCCAAGTGTATAGGGCCGAAGAGTCAGGCTGAATAAGGCATCCACACGAAACCACTCTCGACTCAACTTAAGCCCAACCCGGATGATTTAGCGCAAGTTTCCCCAAGAACGAGTAGTAGTCCAAAGCCAGCCTTCGACACGGTGCGATTGACCTGCAAGTCTTCAAAAGAGGGGAAGGCTTTTCCAGAGTTCCTGGCTCCCTAGAGGTGACAACGAGGTACGTAGACCTCCAGATCGCTTCGCTTGGATCTTTTGAAGTGAATCCAGACACCGGACTCTGAAGTCCGGAACCCCCGAAACCCTACAGCCCCAAACAGTAGAGCCCCCCCAACTCCCTACTTTAAAAAACGAATGGAACCTCTATGAAGCTCAAGAAGCCGGGCCTCTTTGGTGCCGAGCACTTCTTGGATCTCTTTTAGGGAGATCCGGCCGTCATCTGGCAAGAAGCAAGGCTTCGAGGTTCGGGTCTTTCTGGCTTTGGGGTTTAGGGCTGTAGGGGTTAGCGCTCTAAGGTGTGTGGTGCAGATGCACACATATGCGCTTGACGCCCGAGGACAGCCCTAAACCCGAAACCCTAAACCCTAGGCCCTAAACTAAAAAACCCTCAACCCACTTTAGATCCTACAAGGATTCATTGGATGTTGCACAAACTTCTGACCGGAGGGTTGGATTGTCCTGGCTTTCTGCTTAAGGCAGAGCTTGCACTCTGGCATTTCACCGCCCAGCTAAGAATGAGACCCAAAACCGCATGCCACAGAAATGCTCAAACTTCGGACTCGGAGCCTGGGTTTAGGGGTTTAGGGGTTTAGGGTTTAGGGCTTAGGGGTTTAGGGTTTAGGGTTTAGGGTTTAGGGTTTAGGGTTTAGGGTATAGTACAACCACCCACTCCGGAGCGCCGCAGCCAAAACATGCGAATGCTTTGAAACCTCCACCCTGTACAGTCAAGACCACACACCCTCGGACCCCAATCCGTAAAACACCCCTAAACCCTAAACCGTCGACTCTTGAGTCTACTAAACTCTGAAAACCCTAAACCCTAAACCCTAAACCCTAAACCCTAAACCCTAATCTAAAACCTGAAAACCCTAAAGAATTGGAGCCAGGAGGCCGTTTTTGTCGAAGACACGGAAGGCCGCCCAGAGAGCGCTCTCCTGCACCTTGGCGAAAGGTTTCGCGATCTTCGGCATGTACAGTCTCGAACGGATGGCCTAGGGTTTTTGTAGCGGGCATGTCGAGTTCTGCAATATCATACTGAAACGGTGTGGCAAAGCACCTTGCAGCCGTCAGTGCCAGGCGAAGGTTTTAGCGCTAGTGCTTAAGGTTAAGGCTAAGGCTGTGGTGGCGCTAGTCTGCCCCTTAACAGCGGCACTTCCGTTGCGGCTAAGCCTCTTTCGTGCAGCTGCCCTAATAGCTTTGGCTCGTATTTTGAGTGCAGGGCTGAGAGGTCTTTCCCTGTGGCTTGACGGACGAGAGCGTGTGTGTGCGTGTGTGATAGCAACTGCAAAATTTGCCTGCGCCCCTTATTCTACACCCTAAATCTCGAAGACTGGACCTACGCCCGCAAACCCTCAAACCCCAAACTACAGACAACGAACCTCTAAACTCCAGACCATACTTCAAGCACACTCCGTCCGGCCGAGGAAAATGCAACTGCCTTTCTCTCCATCGCAGCAGCAATGAACTCCGTATAGTCCTGGCTACGTGGAGGATTGGCGACTTCGAGTGTCGGTGAATGCAAAAGATAGACAGAACCCAGTTTGCAAGCAAAAAGAAAGCTGAGTAGGACTGCAACTTCTTAAGTGACTCGCATTCTTCTTGAGTCGTAGTGTGGCAGGCTTGACAGGTTTATTGACGACACCCGGGGCGTGAGGGAGCTTGCAGAACACGTTCACACGTGGAATATGTAAAGATACCATGATCATTACAACCGATGGCTGCAAAGTAGCGATGGCATGCTCCTTTTCCCCATAACATGCAACCCACATGACTTTGGGGAAATGCTTGGAGGCTGCTTTGGATGCTACTGTAGTGTCCTTCCACACCTTAAAGAAACACTCATCTAGCACGAAGCCCAAAACCCTCCACGATCCATAAGCCCGCAGAACCGAAAAGGAAATAAAACGTTCATTAATAACCTGAATCACCCCCTTAGTTTTGCATTACATCGAAAATGGTTCCTAAACTCCACCCAGATAAAGACCTCCTCAACGCTACAGTAAGCCACTACAAGGCCCAAAGCCAACAACACCCTGAACTTAATGTAGGGGCCTTAATAATTAGAGTTCGATTTTGGGGATTCCTTATCATAGTTATAGTATAGTATACCCCAAACCCTATTCTAATTACTAAGGCCCCTATATGAGCAGTTCTCTAAATTAGGGTCCCTTTGTAGGTCCCCAATATGGTACGGCACCCTTATAAAAAGGTCCTCAAAAGGGACCCTATCTTAGAAAACTACCCGTGTTACGCTCGAAGCCCTAAAGCACATCAATGCTGGGCCAGGGCCACGATCTCGCCCGAGCCATCTGCATCCACGGCCCGAGCCAAATGCTGGAGGTCCTCCGGCCGGTGGAATAGGGTAGGGTTTAGGGTTGAGGGTTTAGGGTTTAGGGTTGAGGGTTTAGGGTTTAGGGTTCCTTGTGGAGCATTACTGCAAGGGTTCCTGTACCGGGTTACTAGGCTTTAAAACGGTTTAGGGTTTGGGGCGCGGGGTTCTAGGGCTCAGGAGGTTAGTCTTTCGTCTGGGAGTTTCGGGTAGGGACTTCTACCCCTAAACCCTTAAACCCTAAACCCTAAACCCTAAACCCACCTTCTTCTGTCCTTGTTGGAGAAGGTGTCGCCGTGGCCAGAGTTCTTCCTCGGAAACTCTTCGGCTTGGCCCAACCACTACAGAATCTTCTGCCCAGAGACTCCAATACCCCTTAAGGAAGGAATATACCTTAAATCTTATTAGGGGGCCTACTATAATTTAAGGTATATTCCTTAATTAAGGGGGTATTGGAGTCTCTGGGTGCTTCAGGAAGAAGCATGAAGGCCCCGAAAGCATCGTTTGGGCCTGCGCCTTCTCCTTTCAAGCCCCACGCCCTAAATGCGACAGATTGAACGATCTTCTTGAGACTCGGACAACCCTTCCTTGAGCTCGTTAAAAGTGATGATGCCATCACCATCCTGGCCCGGAGCTTGCGGTTTTAGGGGTTTGGATTCATGAGACGACCATTATTGCCACATGACAGTCAGTCAGAAGCGAGATTGTGCATTGCTTCCACCACCAAGGGGTGGAAGTACCCAACAAAGTGCTCTTCTTCAGGGCGTAGCGACTGAGCCACACCCAACGGGTCCTGGTCCAGCTCGGTGAAGACCTGTCGTAACCTGCTCTGAATGGACTTTCAAGCAGGTTCAGGACGAGGGCTTGGGCTTGAGGTCCAAGATTTTGCAGATTGCTGGGTTAGGGCAATCACAAGTCCGGCGTCAGCGAGCTGTGAGCTTCTGTGCCGAGGCTGGGCTTCCGGTTTAGAGGGCCTAAAGGGGGGCTCTAGACTTGGGGGCTGAGGCCCTTCGTCCTGAGACAGACCTTGAAACTGGGCCCCCGACGCGGTGAGACTGCCGTCATCCTGACCGCGAGGCTACAGGCCAATCTGCAGATCTCGGAACAACCACTTAGGGTTTAGGGTTTAGGGTTTAGGGTTTAGGGTTTAGGGCAGCCTTTGAAGATGAGGGCTTAAGATCCGAGCCTTGCTCGAGAGCGTGGGGTTTACTTCTCAGATCAGGGTGCTTCGTAGGCGCAGGATTGCAAGACTCCGAGAGCCACCTTTCCTATATGTGATCATGAAAGACACAGAAGTCAACTCCCGCAAAACCCCTTTTCTTAGACCGTATAGACCCTGAAAACCCCTTCGCAGGCCCACTCACCGTAACCTTAAACCCTAAACCCCTAAA